CTGTGGCTCAAGTGGTAGAGCGCTAGCCTTGAGCTGAAAAGCTGAGGGACAGTGCCCAGGCCCAGAGTTCAAGGCCCATGACTGACCAAAAAAAGAAAAAGAAAAATGGGTTACTTGAGGAATTAGGAAGATAGAAATAGCAAACCCAGACTCCCTGGCTCAAAGAGAGGAGGGAGTTGGGCACAGGTGGCTCATGCCTATAATTCTATCTACTCAAAAGGCTGAGATCTGAAGATCATGGCTTAAAGCCAGTCCTGGCAAGAAAGTGTGTGAGACTTTCAATTAAACCAACCAAAAAGCCCAAAGTGAAGGTGTGGCTCAAGTGATAGAGCACTAACTTTGAGCAAAAATGCCCAACGGCAGTGCCCAGGCCCTGAGTTCAAGCCCTTGGAGGAGAACTGGAGATCAGGTTCCTGGAGACTCTGAATGAAGGTGTTCAGATCTTGCCCATGCTAACAATTACCTCACCCCTACAGACCCCCCAGTGGTGACTCTCTCTGTTGAGCCCCAGACCGTGCAGGAAGGAGAGAAAGTAGCATTCCTGTGTCAGGCCACGGCCCAGCCTCCTGTCACTGGCTACAGGTGAGGAGGACAGTCACCTTTCTCCAGCCAAGAAAGGAGCAGCCATGACCTTGGTTGGGGAGGATTGGGATCACATTAACAACACCACCTATACTTTTGCAGGTGGGCAAAGGGGGGCTCCCCGGTGCTCGGGGCGCGTGGGCCGAGATTAGAAGTCGTGGCAGATGCCTCGTTCCTGACTGAGCCTGTGTCCTGCGAAGTTAGCAACGACGTGGGCAATGCCAACCGCAGCACTGTGCTGGAAGTGCTGTGTGAGCAGGGGCGGGGCGGGGGCGGGGCTGATGTGGGCGTGGTCAGTGTGGGCGTGGCGTTGGCGGGCGTGGCTTCTGCGCCCAGGGGAAGGAGGTGGGGCCCCAATAGGATGTACAGGCAAATTTTGGCGGTGCCAAAATGGGTCTAAGGTGTAGTGGACCCAGTGTTGTGGACTGGGATTCTGTACCTCCCCCTCCCCCCACACACACACTTGGAAAATGTTTCTGAGAGGCTGATGGCGGGGTGGTGGAGGGGAAAGGGGTGCTTCATGTGAGCCCTTCTCTCCATCCTCCAGTTGGACCCATTCTCCAGGCAAAGCCAGAGCCCATGTCGGTGGATGTAGGGGAAGATGCCTTCTTCACCTGTGCCTGGCGTGGGAATCCATCCCCACGGATAACTTGGATCCATCGGGGTGGTACACAGGTGAAGCTTACTCTGGGGCTTGTAGCCATCGCTGGTATAGCTCCCAGAATCCCACTGCTGATGTCCTTTCTCTGTCCTAGGTGCTGAGCTCAGGACCCACACTGCGTCTTCGGTCGGTAGGACCCGAGGATGCAGGCGACTACGTGTGCAGGGCTGAGCCTGGGCGCTCAGGCCTGGGAGGTGGCACAGCAGAAGCTAGGCTAACAGTGAATGGTGAGAAAATGGGGTTTTGCAGAGTAGGTAGAGGGCAGAAGATGGGAACCCCTGTGTGTGTGTGTGTGTGTGTGTGTGTACATGTGTCAGTTCTGGGGCTTGAACTCAAGGCCTGGGCACTGTCTCTTAGCTTCTTCACTCAAGGCTGGTGCTCTACCATTTGAGCCATGCTTGACTTTTGGCATTTTAGTGGTTCATTGGAGATAAGAGGCTCATGGACTTTCCTGCCTGGGATAGCTTTGAACCTTGATCCTCAGATCCCAGCTTCCTGAGTAGGTAGGATTACAAGCATGAGCCACCTGCGCCAGGCTTCAAAAGGAACTTTATAGAGAGTGGGTTTGGCGATTGGAGCAAGACTTGTTAAAACAAGGATGTGGCCTGGTTGATTGGAGTCCATAGAGTGTTGCCAGGTTTGGCCTGTCTTTATCCAAACCGCCTTTGTAGAGGTCAAGACCTCCCCTGAGTGGCCACAATCTCCATCCAGCTCCCCCAATAGTGACTGCCCTGCACTCCGCGCCTGCCTTGCTGAGGGGACCCGCCAGTCTTCAGTGTCTAGTGTTGGCCTCCCCTCCTCCAGAAGCAGTGGTAAGTAAAAGTCCCCTCTACCATGACCCCCTAATGGAGATCTCTGACCTCTAACCTGGACCCCTAAAATCGTAACTTCTTGCCTCTTCCACTCTCGTCATTGATATCCCACCTTCTTTCTTCTTGCTCTCAGGTCTGGTCTTGGGATGAAGGCTTCCTGGAAACAGGGTCCCAAGGCAGGTTCCTGGTGGAGACTTTCCCAGCCCCTGAGGTCCATGGGGGACAGAGTCCAGGCCTAATCTCTGTGCTACACATTTCGGGGACCCAGGAGTCTGACTTCAACAGAGGCTTCAACTGCAGTGCCCGGAACCGATTGGGTGAAGGAGGCACCCGGATCCTTCTGGGCCGTAGAGGTGAGATACTGGACCAAACACCCCAAATCTGAAGATTTTCAAACCCCACAAGCCCAGGAATTCCTAGATTGAAATTGATTAACTTTAAG